GCCTTAGTGGGTGTCACAGACATTGCTGACTGGGACTTCTCATCAGGGGACTCCTTCGAGCTGTCCTTTGCCACAGCCTCCTTCTTCTTAGAATCTCCTTCTTTCATAATGGTTATTTATCTGAAAAAGAGACAAAGATATCACACCACACTTAAAAAAAACTTAGAGACATGCTTGATAAAAAAAAAAAAAACAGACCATACTTCAAGCACAGGTTATGCATGCCTTGAGTTTTGTAATCCCATTGATCACAATGCATTGTTACATTAAATTATAATTTTGAAGGTAGGTAAGTCAAAGTGCAACCTAAAAATATCCAAATCTGACATAGCTGATTCATTCACAAAAACACACACACACACAAGCATAGGATGCAATATATTCTGCATCAATGATGTCTCCTTCTTGGAACAGATACTTCTATAAATTTAAATAATTTCCATGTAGTTTTATTCAAATTAAAAAAATTTTGTTTATCCAAAAAACATTGGTATTAGTATATATTAGGTCCGAGTGGACAATTGTGACGCTGTTGATACAAATATGTAACAGCAAAAATTTAGGTTTTAGGTTAGGTTAGGTTGTAGGTTTGTAGGTTTTAGGTTTTAGGTTGGTAGGTTTGTAGGTTAGGTTAGGTTAGGTTGTAGGTTTGTAGGTTGTAGGTTGGTAGGTTGTAGGTAAATAGGTAAGGTTAGGTCAGGTTTGATTATGTTTTTCTTTTATTTCCAGGACATATAAGTATCATTTTTGGATTCAGGATGTCAAATAATGTAAGAACATGAAAACTTTATCTTTTTACAGTCACTCGGACTCAATGTATACTTTTACCAAAACATTTACTCCAAACTTGCAAAAATGTAGTTTCTAGGTGTCTATTCATAAAAATGGACACAAATAATTTAACAAGCAGGTATTGCCCATGTGTCTAGTCTACTAGCTAGGTCACAATTTAGCAAAAGAAAGGGGTCAGTCATTTGTCTTCAAGGATAAAATCAATCCCAAAAGTAGTGATAGCCTGTCCTGTGGTTCAGTTGGTAGAGCATTTGACTCCCAGTAGTGAGAGTCATTGTTCCAGTTCATGTTGCTCTGGCACTGAATATCATGAGACCGGCTGACAGGGACCATCTATGGTTGGTAGGAGCACCTGCAGCCAGTTGAAGTCTGTTGCGTGAGACAGGCTATGTCTGGCTTTAATGAGCACATTTAACTTTGATATCTAAATTCTTCCATCATCCAGGACCACTTGATCTGATGATATCATACTCAATATGGGTCAGAGCTAGCGCAAAAATCTCATCTTAGCATCAAGCTTGGGCTTCGGAGTTCGGATGTCAATCCAACCACACATTTCCAACTTAAGTTATAAAAATGGAGGTATCCTTTCAATAGCCTGAAGTAGGCAAAAATCAAATGAACACGTAAACACAAGCAGGCAATGATCTTGATCTGAAAGAATACTGTCTGGTCCTGACAAGGCCTTGATCGTGCCTGTTATTCCACAAAGATGTTCTAGGGCCTGTTCCAGCGCCTCCAGAAGAAATTCTTGACTGGAGGCTCTACCAGAGGTTTTACTGGAGGCGCTGGAACGCAATCTGGAGATTTCTGGAGATTGGCGTCATAGATACCAAAAGAATGACGATTGTTCTCTCTTGAAACGCAAAATTTGTTTTCAATTTTAGTTAAAAAGATACATAGAATTATAGCAATGTAATTTTCTTTACATTCAAGTTGTAAAATAATTAGTCAAATGTCCTTTGTTTACATTCGTGATTGTCACATGTGCACCATAATTGTAGACCAGAGCCTCCAGAGAAATTTGGACCTCTCAACTCTCTGGAGGCTACTGGAGGTTTCTGGAGCTTTGGCGAGAGCTTTCTGGAGCTTTCTGGAGGCGCTGGAACGCTCTCTGGAGGATTCTAGAGCTTTCTGGAGCTTTCTGGAGGTTTCTGGAGGCGCTGGAACAGGCCCCTAATTTCCCACAACATGCATGTCACATCCTAGTACCTCACACAGTATTTTTGAAAGGACGCTTGGGTCGCAAGACTACGCGTCCTATTCCCACAACAACAACAAGTATTTTTGAAATCCAGTCCTCCTTTCATTAAAAACTTACCTGAGCTTGCCAGTAGTTAAAAATACAAATATTATGACCTTCCAGACAAAAATGCGTCATCCATTCTGTGAGAAACTTGTCAATATTTTGCCGCAAATCACCTAGGGAGACAATTGCAGCGCAGGCTTGGATTTCTTTAGCAAGCAGCTACTAAATTAAATAAGTTGTTTGTTATGAGAACTACTGAGGTAGTAAACCGTTTTTGGATATTTTAACATAAAATTTGATCCAAAAATCGAAATATAAGAACAATTCAAAGATCAATCGTTTTAAGTTTTTTGCAATATTATGGATTGTACGAGGGAACAAGACTTGAGATGACCGCAAATTGTGAGATCGTTTCATACTCATGTTGTCAGCTCTGTGGTACATTTGTTAGGTACAGGCCGTATGAAAACTCAGTCCGTTTGCAAACGGCCTGGCCCGATTCAGGCCGTTTGCAAACGGCCTGGACAGCCCAGACAGTATGCAAACGGACTGAAAAGTCAGGCCGTTTGAATACGGGCTGAAATTCCAGGCTGTATGCAAACCGCCTGAAATTTCAGGCCGTTTGCAAACCGTCTAGGCCGTATGACAACTTTCCAGACACCAGGCCGTTTGCAAACGGTCTAGGCATTTTGAAAACAATCTGGTCTGCATAAAGTTACAGCTGGACAATGTTGAGTTTGTTGAAGCACGACCGTTTCATGGCATTACATGGCACCATGAAATCCTGAGGTGCATTCGGCATCCGGAAAAATATCGTCACTCGGATATTCTCCGTCGGAAAATTATTGTTGAGCGCCTATCTTCAGCATGTCTCGTTATCGCGATACCGTTCGTGATCCCCGATGATTCTCGCTAGTTCCGGAAAATTCTCCCTGATTTTCCCGATGACGAATGCAGGCCTGGTTAGGAATAGATTAGAAGAACTGAGACCCGGCCCGTATAGCGCCCGGTCGACCCGGGCTTCCCCCGGACTTCAAAGTTTCGCCTTCCACCGCAATGGTCAAGTGTTGCCGGCGTACGCCACCGGCCAGCCGCCGGCGGTCGACCGGGCGCGGTGAGGACTCTAATGTGAACCAGTGGCGCGGGAACTTCTTCGATCCAGACTGGGGGGGGGGGGGGCTGAACCATAATAGAGATCAACCTAGGGTACCCCCAAATCCTCACCGGTTTTAGGCCACTTATTTTTCAGACCTTGGCCTTTTCAACAAAAAACGAAAATATTTGCAAAAAAGTCAGGTATCCCGTCTCAACTGAGTGAAGAAACGACCGTTTTGGCAACCTGGAATAAAGGTTTTAATCTGCCAAATGAGTTGCCGGGCCAGTGAAAGAGGTGGATTTTTCACTTACATGCTTTCTTCCTTTGTGACCCACAACCCCTAATTTGGGGAGGAGAGGACAAGCTGCCCCAACGGTTCCTGACCTCATGAAAAGTTGTGGGGCACCGCCCCCACGGCCCCAGAGCTTGGGAGCAGGTTTCCCCCACTGCCCCCTCCCCCGGTTCCCGCGCCTATGTATGAATCTATGAAATTATGTTGGTAGATTTTCGATTTCGATTCCTCCAGCTGGGGGGGGGGGGGGGGGCTCAAATACATTACAAGCGCCCCCCCCCCAGCCGAAAAAATTGGAGGGGCTCAGCCCCCGCTAGCCCCCCCCCCTCCCCGGTTCCCGCGCCACTGATGTGAACTCTGATGTCCATTGCGCGCTCCGGCGTTTTATGCCGCAAAATAATCGGTGAGTCTTGTAGTGATACGTTTCACCAGATCTCACCAGTAGTGGCTTTACCAGGCTCCACCAACTGGATGGCCGTACACAGGCGGACCGTGAACTTGTATAATTAGTAATATTGTCAAAAAACGGCCGGGCCGAGCATCAGCACAGTAAGAAAATGTTTGACGTATGTAGACGAGTCATTCGGCATGGAATGCGCAAGCATTCACATGGATGCAACCTGATCATCGACCAACCTGGATCCATTAAGTTCAATCTTCAGAGGCTGTTGTACTTCGCCAGACCGTTTGAAAACTGACTAGGCCGTTTTCAAACAGTCTAGGCCGTTTCAAACTGCCTAGGCCGTTTTCATACGGCCTGATATTTCAGGCGGTTTGCAAACGGCCGGCTTTTTCAGGCCGTTTTCAAACGGCCTGACTGGGCCAGGCCGTTTGCAAACGGACTGGGTTTTCATACGGTCTGTAACACATACACTTAGTTTGGCGAGGACCTCGTTATAGATTTAAGTTGCCAACCGGTTGGGACTGGAGCCCTTACCCCAGCTCGTCGCTGGCTGACCTCACAAGGCTGCCCAACAGCCTACAGGTGTCGCCAGCAATGTCTTACCATTTTTTTTTTTTTGTAGATGTCGTCACTTGTTGGTGCCTGGTGGACTGGTAGGCTCTCTGGTAGGCTCTAGCCTCTTATTATGACTATACATTCGCACTGCAAGACTGTCAGCTCGCAGACCTCAGGGGCATGGGTGGGGGGTGAGGGGGTGGGGGAGCTGAGGGGCTGCAGCCGGGAACCGAAAGAGGGCCGACCCTTAGATCCCTCTGGTCTATGCTCAGGACATGCAAACTATTCCTTTCAACACCCTGCAGTCCCCAGAGCCCCGGTCTGGGACGGCCAGCTGGAAAGACGATTACCTTTACACGACTCGATTAGGTACAGCTCCCGTTGGAGCATGCACGGTGTCTACTTGCGCGACTGGATGGCCTGTCCTTCGAGATGGGCTCTGCCTAACTTCCGCAGTGCACCAGGATGGCCGCCCAGACCAATGGGAGACGCATTGGAGACTATGTGGAGTTATGTCCACACATTATTTTTCTTACCAATTGCATGACTCGCTGTTCAAACGTCGCTGTGAATAATTTTACTGTTGATGCAACCATGCCGTAAACTATGGAAAGTTATCAGACGCATACATGTATTACCACCAGCAAACGCAATCATTGTCATACAACGCACATGGAACACCTTATGCAAAGTTAAACAGAAAATCGCATATTCGCCTTATTCTTGAGATAACATGGCGAGTTTGTGCACTACTTCTACGCTTAACAAGCTACATAAATATAAAACGGCGCCAGATTTCGCGCAGAAACGAGCTTTGAAGCGCGGTAGGCTCACCTGACCTCAAAACTACCTATGGGAATTCTTTTACTCTAATCATTTTCGCTGAAAACAGAGTACCTAATTTCACGATATTATGTCACACACGGTGAATTATGAGCATTCCGAAAAGATCTTCTTATCAACTATGCCGAGTCGAGTTTGATTTTCTATAGCAGGATCACCGCGGTCGATACAATCTCGGAGCACAGTATGTTGTTCGCGAGAGCCGTGCCACCTGATCAGCCAGCCGCGACGGGCACACATGGGGTATATATGACATATGTACAATGATATACAGCTCTATGGTGACGGGGATGCTCTATACTCCCTCCAGTCCTCCCTCTGAACACAGCAGCAGTAGAGCGACCCGCCTGGAGCCGTCCTGGCCGCCGGCACCCCACAGGTCACCGCGAGCACACGCCACTTGTGAACACACCTTCCTTCGGCAGACTGGACCGACGCCATCTGCCAGTCTCCCAGCGCAGTCTCCAACCCAACTCGTGGAGAGCAGGCCATATCTGCCGGAGGGGATAAATACCACTGTTCATGACTGGGATCAACGGAAGAAATTATATAGGTAAGCATGCAAACAACATCCGAATCGACAGCAATGGCTGATGAACTGCTCAAAACGCTACATTTCAACGAATAACCGTTTAGTTAAAACGCAATAAACTTCATCAGTACGCATATTAACCTAAAAGACTTGAGTTATATTCACGATTAAATGTTCCACATTTAAACGTTCATTAAAAACCCAATCCACATTAAAAAGCACAACGTTTCGATTACACAAATAAACGTTACAACTTTTGCTTTTAAACTTTTACAACTAAACCAGCACAAGTCACAATTAAACTATTGCCTCACAGTTACCGCAGCTCCACCAATTGTCTCGACGGCGCCACTTACGTCGCTCAGGACTCGGGACAGCTGAGCTCGTCAGCGCCGTCCAAACAGTCCGGGTTGCCATCGCAGATCTGTAACGAATACAACAGTGTCAACGGTGTGGTCCGGTCACTAAAACACATCACTATGATCGCATGTGGCATGCCATTTATTTCAGTGCCTGCAGCTGAGTACCTTCGGATTTTATATATGTTTATAATGGACGCCATTTAATTGCGTCCCAGAAAAGCTATTTCTGGCACCTAAAAGCTGACTCGCCCCAAAATTGGTCCTCAGCACCTATTTCGTGGATACCAGCACCAATCATGGAAAATGACCTTAATTAGCTGTTTCTGGCACCTATTCATTGGTACGCTTTACTCTTTTTTCTGAATCTGGCACCTAAATGCTGAGCGTAGCAATAATCTAGTAGAAAAATGAACTACTGGCTGGTAGAATCATGTTGTTCTGGTATAATGACCCCTGGAGTCTAGCCTAAAGGTTGCCAGTGCAGCTACACTCTAAGACAGCCCCGTAGTGATCTCAGCATTGTATATGACGTTTAAGTAAGCAAATAATATTAATTTGTTTGAAAAAACAATGTCATTTAAATATTTAAAAGTATTTATTTGTAATGCTTAAAGGGAATCATTTTTGTGGGTAATTGTCTCGATTTTGACCATTAAAACGGATATTGTATTTTTTGACGTCATCAAATAGCTCCAAAAAAGAAATGTAATGTTTTCATTCCGTTCAAGGCCGCTGAAGAAACGCGGGATCTTGCGTGGGACATTGTCCGTTGTTTGCTGCGCAGAGTTGTGCCGTGGTTGTGCCTTCTTCATCCGTTTCTTACTTATGGCATATGTGTGCATGAAGCTTTGATTTTGTTTTTGGTTATTGTGTGGCCGGTCAGTCAAACGCCCCTGTAGAAACCGGATGCTGCGTTTGATCGAGATGGAGTCAGACGATGATTGCAGAAAGCTAATAATATTGAAAAGAGGGCCGGTTGCGTGGCAAGTCTGTTCAGAGTTGACATTTTGCTTTACTCCAGTTTATGACCTGAGAGCCTGGCTGGAAGTGACGGATCCAAACTTTTCACGTTAAAATGGCTGAGGGTGCAATAATATCTAGTCTCTACATAGCGGGCTGGTATAGGAGCATCTTGCTATGCTGCACCATAGCTGGCTAGTGATTCTCTTTTGGCTAGAAATGGCATTAATCATTATCTCCACTGGCGAAAATGGCACTTGGCATCACCGAATGCAACGTTCATGTTGTTAGGATACATAAAATCAGGAAGATTACGCGAATTAGGTAGGCAAACGTGGAATAAAATAGGTGCTGGATGTTTTGGTTTTGGTGCTGAATCAGCAAACAGCAAATACGGAGTTCAACTAGACGATCTGGCAACTTTAGGCTGTGTGGAAGCAATTAGGTGCCAGATTCAGATATTAGGGTCGAATAAGCATTTTGGGGCTGATCAGCAATTAGGTGCCAGAAACAGCTTTTTAGGGACCAGAAACAAATATTCCCCGTTTATAATTTACATTGTCGTATGGATATCCGTTTATGGCTTCCTAGTTAATTCAGGATGCCTATCTATGCATACCAAAGCTGAGTTAGCTCGGTCATTCACTGGTTGTTACCGTTTACATTTAACGATGTGTAACAGAACAGAGACACGCATGTAGGTATACGACCGCATAATACACGTCTTTAACACAAGCTTTAATGCATTTAAACGTCCGTTAAAGCTCTGAGCCTGTCGATCGAAGGTCTCGATAGTAACTGACCTGAGATGTCTGGATGCACTGTCCGGTGCGACACTGGAACTGACCCCGCTCACACTTGAAGGGTGGACAGAACGAGGGCTCATCGGAGCCGTCCCCGCAGTCGTCCTGAGGAACGAGAGATGGCGTCAGTGGGAAGGAAAGAGGAGGGAGAGAGAGAGAGAGAGAGAGAGAGAGAGAGAGAGAGAGAGAGAGAGAGAGAGCCGGATGAACAGGACAGATCTAATCAACGGATATAATATTCACAACGGTTTATTTGTAAACCTACATACATGAGAATACGCAGGGTTAGCCTTTGCAATTAACAGTTGCGTGGAATACATATAGGCACTTTTCACAGGAATGGAACAACATTGGTCCGTATGGATGAAACATTACACTACGGAACAAAGACATGACAAGATTCCCTGAGACCCAAAACGCTCAGACGCATTGATCTAAATAAACTGCGGCCCGCGATCTCACATCTGCCATGATTGCCGTTCGATGTCGGCACCGAAGTCACAATCTTATCTCCGACAACAGAATAAGAGCAATGTCGCATGACTCACCACCCCGTTGCAGACCAACCAGTGCGGCAGACACTGGAAGGTGTGCTTGCAGATGAACTGGTCGCGCGTGCAGTTGGTCTTGCAGGTGGCTCCGTCGTCGATGGTGACAAAGTGGTCGGGACAAGCGCAGGCGTGACCTCCGCCCGGCGTCAGCAGACAGAGCGTGGCGCAGCCGCCGCCTGAGTCGCCGCAGGGGTTCGGCACCGTCACTGGCGGCAGCCGGGGTCAGGTCAGGTCAAGTCAGGTCGTTAGACAAGGTCAGGTCCGGTCAGACGAGGTTAGGTCAAGTTAGGCTAGTTCCGGTCAGGTCGGGCCAGGTCAAGTTTGACCAGGTCTCTACATGTCATGTCAGGTCAGGAGAGGTCATGTCAGGTCAGGAGAGGTCATTTCAGGTCAGGAGAGGTCATGTCAGGTCAGGAGAGGTCATGCCAGGTCAGGAGAGGTCATTTCAGGTCAGGTTAGGGAAGATACATCAGGTCGGGCTAGGGTAGTTAGGTGAGTCAGGTCAGGTCAGGTAAGCGAAGGTCAGGCGAGACTGACTGAGTTCTGGGTCGAAGGACCGGGGGCCGATTGAAGCTCCTGTTCAAACAAACTCGCTCCCTTCTACGGGATATGTGATGCCACTTTCACACCGGGCTTTTGCTAGTCCCTCTTTATATTCCCGGTCAACAGACAATAATAAAACTTACGCAATTGTTCCACTTTCAGTAGATCCTGACCTTCGACATCTGTCTAGTCAAAACCAGAGTGTATATAAAAGGCCAAAACATTCGGACAAATGTTAGACCAAAACAAGAATAAATGAAACGGAATGACGTCATCGTGACATCAATTCTGAGAATAAAAACAGGCTCATGGCCGTCACGGAAGATGCGTCACCCGCTAATCGGAGCCAGCTCACTAAAAACAGAGCCAGAGATTGTCGGCGCCCTCTCTGAAGGTGCCGGTATACCAGGAAACATTCTGGCTGGTGTGCCGCAATTCACACAATTAATAACAAGAAGCGGGCGTGATGACGAGAGGGCGCGGGGCGGCTCCGCGCTTCTGACCCGGTTGATGTCACCAGTCTGTGTTTGGTGGTCTCTTTGTGCGTGGGTGAGTCACACAGGGAGGGCAGACGCCTGCGACGCACCGAGATGTCACAGCCGAGATGTCACAGCACATTACCCCTGGAGGCTGCCAACCGTGCCGCCATTAGCGCTCGCGGCGGCTTTACTCGAGATGTGTTGCCACACCATTTCTCGTCCCTTATAGCTGTAAAACTGTCACTAGCGACTTCTTGCATAATGCGTTGTAAATGTTTAAGCCGGTTTGATGCGTATAATCTTCGTCTGCCTCCCAAGGATTGGCTGAAGAGGCTTATTGATCTAATGGGCTAGCAGATGACATGTATTTATGAATGGACTGTTTGTTTTGGCTTCGAATATGCCAACCATTCAGTGCGTGCAAATTGAATGTCGCAATCCTCACCTATTGAAAGCCATTTTGGTAACCACACAGGCAAGGCCATACCCAGAAAGGATAACGTGACACAATATCAAATATCCCATCTACCTCATCCGCCGGGTCTTATCCTCTACAAGGAGCTATCGAACTGTGAAACATCTTACGATAAATGGGGTCAATATGTGATAGACGCGCGGAGCTCGAATAATCCTTGAGCTCTCTGCATAGTTAGGGATTTTAAAACGTCATTCCGGTCACAGGACAGTCGTGTGAGCTGAGACGTTGGTGTTGGGACGAACCTTTCGAAAGTATCACTTCAGTAAAACTGCAACATATGTGACGTATTCAATCACCGATAAACGGTACAACTGCAGGGGACTTGAACTGATGAGAAGTAATGAATTCAGATTATCTACCATCGTTTCAATGTGAGTTTTTACGAACGAATGTCACTCGTAAATATTTTCTTTATGCTGAATCCGTAGGATAAGTTTTAATGTTTGAAAAAAACTCAGCAATAAACTTCGTTAACTCGTTAATCACTGAATCGTCAATAATTTAAATTAACGTTTGGTGTTTGAAGATGATTTAGCGGTATAATAAGGAACTATTTAACGGTTAACGATTTAAGGCAGCTATTTGCTGCATTTGCACTTCCGATGCTTTTTAGGTTGCTTATACATGAGGTGATAATAATTGCATGAGGTGACGAAGATAAATACATGTCATGATTTTCTTCCGCTACGGGAATCATTAGGCATACTCACGCGGCTTCTGTTGTGACGAGTGGAACACGCGCACACCCATCGGCAGACTGCTGGAGTTGCGCAGGGTGATGGCATGGGTCCCGTTGTATTTGATGATGCTGTTCGTTTGCCAGCTAGACCAGAACAGTTGCTTCTGGTAGATGGCCAGCGAGAAAATGTGCAACAGTGGCTTGATTGTCACGCCTGTGAGAATCAACACATGATGAGCCGGCCACATCGGTGGGAAAAACGACAGGTCACTTGAGTTCGACAACCCAAAACTAGCAGAACTCCGCGAAACGAAATGCCTAACGAGCGGTTTTACTCAGTTAACAAGTTAATCTGACATGCAAAATGTGCGACAACATAAAGCCTGACATCATATGGTACAATATGACATGCGACACAACGACAACTGCCCTTGTAACTTTCGCGTCTGTCAATGCATCCTGTCTCTTGCCACCCAGATATGGTTACTCGGTAATCACGGGCGGCCTTCAAAGTGGTGAGCTCACCACATCTGGTGGCCATCATCCTTCATCGGGCAACCGTTTCACATTTTTCCACTGAGATGCTCTGGTCTGAATCAGATGGCCATGAAAACGACCTTCACAGTTGGAGAGCATCAGCCTCCCGCTCATTTAGGACCATCGCCATCGAAGAAAAGTTTGGGAGTTTTGATCAGAGAAAGAATACCGTTATGCCAGATTACCTGTGTGTATGTATTTACCAGAATTTACCCCTTCTTATTTGATCATGAAACGTACCTAATTATGATAGTTCTCCAACGTCAATCTGTAGAGAAAGACACGCCTTTTGTATAACAAATGGATTTCAAATATCGCGATGCCTTGTTTTTCCCGCACTTTGACTTGTTTCACTCGCCCTCCGGACTCCCGAAGACCCCTTAAATCACACTCCTAAGGATTCTTCCACTCACCCTCTGGACTCCTGAGCAGGACTCGCCGGTTGCGTCCGAGCATGTCGGCCACCTCGATGTGACCCTGCTGGGCGTCCGCCCAGAACAGCTGCTGGGTCTCTCGGCTGATGGTGAGCGCGTTGGGCCACACCAGCTCTCCGGAGATGAGGGTGCGAGGCTCGGAGCCGTCCATGCCGGCTGTACCGATAAACGCCGGCTCCGCCCAATCGGTGTAGTAGAGACGGCTGTGGGGGGGGGGGGGGGGTGATAATAAAGGGGACTGCGCGACGTACAAATATATGATACCGCATGCAAATATATGATATCGTAGCGAAATTGAACAATGAAAATGTGCTTTCGGTGACCGATAAAATTAAAATAATCTCGTCGCTTTCATTTATAACGGGATACGTTCAATACGCTGACTATGCCAGGCTTTGGTTCCGGCCCCCCGACGCATAGAACAGCTGAAAAGAAGATGAGACAAAGAAACGGAGGGAAGCCGATCTACTCGTATTTTACGACTCGACGTACTTGAAATAATTCTTCACCGAACGAGTTTGTACCGAGAGATGTAACTCACCGAGCTTAACACTTTTCACAACATGATACCGTATTACAAGTTCGTACAACATGAAATGACATTACGCCCATGAAAACCCATCAGATGACCTTTTGCAACCGGAGATTACACGATTCCTTATTAACCAACGTGGCAGTTTGGTCAGCTGCCGGTTTGTCCATACACGGCTGGAGGTGGGAGTTTTCCGAGGCCGGCGAACCCAACTAATCTGTTCTGAAAGACCGATGATCCGACCCGATACCAGCCACGAGGGCCAGAACAGCGCTCCACCCCGTCTGGGCAGCCCGTTTCGGCACGGACCGCCAGTGGCCGGTCTGCCCACACGGGACGGGGCGGAGGGGCAGACACCGTCTCATCACAGCCCGCCCTCCCACACACCCGACCGCCGCGCCGGGACCACCGTCCTCTCCTCGCCACCGCCACCGTCCGCTGTAGCACTCACCCATTCTCCGGGTCGACGCAGATGGCCCTGGGCTTCTTCAGGCCCTTGGTGATGAGTGTGCTGGTGAAGCGGCCGTCGCGGTCCGACACGCGGATGGCGGACGAGCCGCCGTCGGTCCAGTAGAGGTTACCGGTCACCCAGTCCACGGCTAGGTTGTCCGGTCGCTCGGCGCCAGAGTGCAGAGACTGAGGGAGGAACGGCGAGAGACGGTTAGCGATAACAATCACTGCGTAAATGTTAAATATGACGAAAACGATGGAAATGGGCCTACCATCTCGACGTCCAAGTGCTTGCTTTGCGTGTTTGTATAAGTAAGTGCTCACTTAAAGTAATCTAATCACCTTTCACGCATAATACCCGGAAATCTTCCAAAGATCTTTATAGCTAGTGGCAGACAGCAAAGGCTGTACAGTGTACAAATTATGCAGATGTGTTTTGAAGTGTGCTGTAGACATGCCTGCTGACACCAGGAAGGAGTATAATCCGATCATTTTCCGGTGCTTATGCATAAGCGACTCCTCCCTGACCAAATATGTGCATGTGCATGGCTGGCACTGACCTCTAGCCCAGCTGTGAGCGGCGCTTACTCACGCCACACAATCACAATCTCACAATACACACCATTCCTCACACGGACGGGCCATCATCAATCCATTGTCGGTGGAATGCCGTCCGCTGCTTGACGGGTGTTATTGATTATTCGCCGGCTCTCGGCGGCGTGTAATCCAAAGTTGTTTGCATGTTTACGCTGCATGGTTCCGGCGACTCGGTACAGCCTTGGCGAGGCCCACGGCGCCGGCAGCGTTTGCACGGCGCGCAAAAAGGTGGCGAGGCGCGGGGTCCGGCGCGACTTCGCCCCCGCCGGTGTCGCCACGACACGCGGCCTCTCGGGGCGACTCCGGTCGAGGTCACTGCGGTCACCGGCGACCCACCGAGAGGGAAAGGCGCCGGGGAGACGAACAGTGACGCACGGCGCTGTCGGGTGTCCCACCTGGACACGGACGCCCCGCCGGATGTGACACAGGGGATGTCCCGGTGTCAGTGGGTCGACGCATTTAGTCAGAGGTCCAGTGGTCGAAGAGGTCTACGAGTACTTAATTGGTCATAAACTCATAATCAGTGGACATTATGTAAGTGGTCATTGCTAGGACGGGCAATATCCGGAGTCGGATCGGCAGTGTGGCGCCGCGAAGCAAGCAGATAGGTATGGGGATTTTCAACATTGTCAGTAAACAAAGCAAAAAATATGATTATACCTATTCATAGTTTTCCTCGTGACTCGTTTGGCTAAATATGACAGAAAACTTTAAGGGTCTATTAGCATAAATTGACTGCAACGAACAGTTAAGCTGTTGCAATTTAACAGTTAAGCAAGCTCATTGACAGCCGCATTTAACGAGTAAAGTAGGTGACGCTACTGCAAATCACGCCCTTGCATCAACTCCCCGTTGTCGCTGTTGGATAGGGCCTTGGTTGGGGCGCACTACGGCGAACGGCCGCAGGTTTTTATGTCCGCTTCATGCCTGAGACCATTGAGCAATAACCCTCGGGAACAAATCGAAGGGTCGCCGTAGCTGCGCGAATGCGTTCGCCATGCCGCGAAGTTCCTCAGAGTTCAGTCACGGCTATATGCCGTCCGATTTGCATACGCTGTGGTGCATGCATTGTGGTTTGCGAATGGTGGTCACTGCGCTGGCTGGATCTCAGAGCCGGTGCAGAACTTAAAGGGACCCTCCCACCTTCAAAAAAGTTAATGAATTGGCATGAATGTGATGTCCCTTGGTTCAGAAAGAGCGAAAACGAATATCTACCAAATTTCACCGAAAAATATTCACTGGTTTTCAAGATATTAGGCTTTTACTTTTGTTTACTTTTTGGGATCTCCCCTGTTACTAGCGACTTTATTTGGAAGCAATAATTTGGCAGCCTTAAAGTGCGGCAGACGTTGCGCGCAAAGCAGCGTATACCACCACGTGTTAACGATGGTTTTAGTCTAAGATTTAAAAATCGTTAGATCTCCGCTGACGTTACAAATTCTATGGGGGCATTCCAATGCATTAGCCCCTTAGAATCCGAAAACTGCAAGTTTGAAATTCCATATCTTCGAATTAAAGCATTTTTCGATGTTGTGAGTGCCCAAACCGGTATTTGCAGGCCATGGCCACCAATTTGGCTATCTCAACTCAAAACTAATGTTAAGGTGGGAGTGTCCAGGCGGTAGCATTCAGGACACTGACCCTACCGCCTGGTCGCCGGCCTACCGCCGGCGACCAGGCGGTAGGCTCAGCTCTGAGGCATACCTATCAGTCATCTAATGAGAGCAGAGGCTGAAGAGGCAGTTGAAAGGAGTTATCTGAATTCCCAGTATGCATGCACTCAGCCATTGGAATTGAGCAACTATGTAAATGGGTCACAGGGAAGCACATTTTAAAAAAGGCACACGCAATTGCATACTACATACCTACTGATACAATATTTCATGCGTCACCGTGTTAGTGATGCTGACTACGGTGATATGGCCTGCGATGTCAGCACGGCAACTGAATATTCTTCAGGCTATCCGGATACGAGTACATGCATACGTCGAATGAATGGTAACGTAATTACGGAAGGCAGCGGTCTCGAGACCACCATCAGTTTCGACACCACTCACGATCGTAAACCGTGAGAGACTGCACCGCTATTCCTGGGACGGAAACTAAGAGCATTACACTACCCCACCGTTTTCTCTCCGGTGGCGCACTCACAGAGATAGCTCTCAAGCTCACCACATGGACTTCTAGTGATTGAACGCTCCACTGCGCACAATATACATGATTATTGGGCTATGAACACTGCGCATTACGTACCTTTTTACATTTGATCAGCTCATGCGCAAAATGTAGAAGAGAGTAGAGACAAAAACGGTATTATAAGAATTACATGCAGTAGGTATACATAGGTATCTGAGAAAATAAGAGCGTGATTTGACCTATCAAATAAGCCCAGCATTGTATGCACCTACTGTCCTCCAGTCCTGAATGCTATTTAATGTTTTGTTATCACTAACCACTTCAAAGAAGCTGTAGTCCTTGCTCCTAATTAATTAAAAATACACGTAAGGAGAAGCAGCCAGCATCATGGATTGCCTAACGGATAAGCACGTCTAACTAACTAAACGGACAATTTACCGAGGATAATTTGCCCTCGGGACCCAGCGCACTAAACCGTGTTATCGCCGAAACCCGCAAATTGGTAGTCGTCGTGTCGCAAACCAAGTAATGAGCGGTCTCACGCGAATGGTTAATGAACGAGTGACTGAATGAATGAGCTTCTTTAAGTATATTGTTCAACTCGCATTGTCTCCGAGATACGCCACGGGGCAACGGCATCGATGTTCAGGTTTGATAAGATTCACTCATGGTGGGAATATAGGCGTCTGTGGTAATTCGATCGAAGATTGATGAGCATTTAGTGATTATTACGACAAAATTATAGCGGGTCAAGGCCGAAAGCGAGATTGCACATTAGGAATCCTCATCCACTTATGAGTTGGCTTACCTAATCAGCTCAAATAGGCCCATTCGATGTTGCTATGCAGTATGCAGTATGCACGCTTACACAAAACAAGTATTTTCCGATTTGGTCCTATCTTCACTGGTAATTACTAATTTTTGTTTTTTACATTTTATCAACGGGTCTTGGTTAAGTTCTCATGCATGACATACAATTGTTGCATTCCTATGAAATTTCAGCATCAGGTTAAATCAGATGCTTTTGTCTAAAAAAGTTAGGTGGAAAATGTGTCATACACGCATTAAAATGACAATAAGAACACCATTCTCGTCATTTTATGGAGGCGCAAGCTATCCGGAAATGCTCATATGGATTATTAAATTACATGTTCCATCACTGTCCTTTTTCTTTCAACCTAAGGTGACCAAGCGAATCAAATTTCTCGCTGCATAGTACTCGTATCGCAGAGCACATCCGAACCAACAGCTATGGACTGCTTCGACAGACATCCGTGCCAGCTTTAATTCGCCGCTCAAGTGTGCGAACTGCGAGGCAAAAGGCCGTGACAGGCCGTCCCCTCTACTCTCGACTCTCCCGTGCTGAAACACGGCAATTGGGACATGAGCTACCGACTGACCAGCCTCTGGAGAAGAGGACCTGATGTTACTCATCTCGACCTCACGGTACACCGATCCAGCCCGACCGACCGGTGTTTCTGGAACGGATTATCTGGTCTTAACGCTCCGGCTTCCATGCCACCGAGGTCGACGGCGGCACGGGTTAGTGACAGGGCGCGACGGGTTGGTGTTCGTTTCGCCACATGGGCTCATGTTTTGTCACCAGTAGCCCGCAGTAGCATGAAGAGCGCCCGGTAGGTTTCATGACAGTTTCATGACCTGAGAGCCGACTTGTCGACTTAGAGAATTAGGTGGTCGAAGAAAAAGAAACAAACACCCATCACGTAGGTTTCAAAGTCTATCGTATTTCATAATCCACGTTGACGGTTCTATGCAACAGACACTGAAATTGATCATTTCAATGCCCGTTTGAACTGAAGTGAAATTCATCACCAACAGTCCCGTGCCACTTTTGGCACTTCCGTCTCCCGATCGTGGGGACCCACCTCTGGAGGACCGGAGTGGCAGAGGCGGTCGATGCTGCTTGTGGACCGCACCACCGTCCAGAAGAAGCACTGCCTCTGCCAGTCGTAGTCGACACCAACAGCGTTGGTCAGGTCGGTGGCCACTATCTCTTCATTGGTGCCGTCCAGGTCCATCAAATGGAGCGCGTCCCGCGAGGAGAACAGCAGCCGCGGCCGGTCCTCGTCCAGTCGACACGTCCGACCTGAGGTCAGAGGTCACGGGTCAGAGGTCAGGGGTCACAGCAGCCTCAGCCGGTCCTCGTCCAGCCGACACATAAGTACGACCTGAGGTCAGGGGTCACGGGTCAGGGGTCAGGGCCAGGGGTCACAGCAGCCGCGGCCGGTCCTCGTCCAGCCGACACGTAAGTACGACCTGAGGTCAAGGGTCAGGGGTCAGAGGTCATGCATGTCAGGGATCAGCACGACGGTGTACCGTCGACAGGTGCTAGTGATGAGTCCGATCGTATCGATATAGGTGTTAAATGTTTATATTTATTGACAAACGGACATTCAGCGTCGAGGGTGTGTACTGTGTATCAATTCAAACTATCGCGTGAATGATGGGGTTTGCTATATGGTGACAGTTGCAGTCTTCTTCATGTATTCAAGTTGCGGACTGACCTTGGATGATAGGTACGACATACCCAGAACAAAATGCTAAGAGCACAGTGAATAACATCCTAAGCCCATTTACGGAACAGGTGACACCAGCTCTGGCATGTTTCTCCACGCAAGCTCAAGAACATGTCGTCTATGCATGCCGTTACACTCAAGACCGCAATCATTAGCATATCATCATGTAAATCTTCCACGTATAACTTGTCAGCCAAACAAGCAGCTTTGAATATTTTTGCCTCCTAGATCGTAGATGATGGTGCTTTTACAGGAAGATAGAACTAATCTTTACGGAAAAAGGCAGCTCACAAATGACGCTACCGAAGAGATCAGAGCTGACACTGAATAGCTATCAATCGATCACTGCTTTTTGCACAAGAGTAGGTACATACTAGCCTTTTTCTTGACTTGTCAGATGAATGGCCAATGACATAGAATAGGGGACACGCACGATTTTTGCCGAGAACGATCTATATGAATCACTCACGGTGGTCGTTCCGGGAATCGTTCAGTGACGAACCCTCAGACCCGACGTGCGCCCGACCCGAAATTTATGATGCGGGTCGGCCGCTAAGTGGCTCGGCAGTCCGTTCTGACACCCCTCAGAAGGGCCGACGGGGAGGGAGCCGAGCGACAACTGCATCTGAGGTACCGCCGCACCGCCGTGCCGCCGCTCGGCGCGTCAGCATTGCCTCACACGCGCCGCTGATGTCACCACGCCAATGAGCCGCGCCACCACTGCCGCACCGCTAACTGCAGCCAGCGGCGAAAGTGATTCCGCCGATTTGGCCGCTGATTCGCCATAGCGCGCCGCCTCTGCCTCGCGTGGAGATTTGCGACAATCACGACTCGTCTACGGCCACCGTCACGGTTGGAAGAGAGCCACAAGAGCCGTGAAATACGGCGAGACGAGAGGCGCCGTGAGGAGAGTGACGGCGCTAGTTTGGATCCACTCCTCTGACCAAGAGGCAAACGTATTACACACACCGGCTACGTGACAAGGCCGGCGAACGTGGCAGCATCGCATCTGGGACAGATCAATCTCGGCAGAGCGCCGGGCAAATCACGGCTGTAAATCATACCCCGAATAGGTGGCAACCTAATTGTATTTAGCAAATATGTTGCTCCATGCTTAATTCAACTTGAAGAGGACACCTGTCGTATGTTTTAGAGCTGGCCCAAGATAATTGTAGTGTAACTTTCTGGACATGTCAATCTCCAAGCGTAGCTCATGACGATGACTATGCAGTTTGGTGGAGGGGAAGCTGCTCGCCGCTAACCGTTGAGTTTTAGCTCGCTAAATTGCTGTCGCTATTGCGCTGTTGAGTGTAGGGTTGTGACACAAATTATAGAAGTCTTGCACTAACTCGGACAGCGTCTTCATATCCGCAATAAGAAGCTAAACGTGGGAAGACAAAGATGTTCCGATCCCACATAGTAGGCGAAATGATGAGGCATATTTAGTAGACGTGTAACGTGATACTTTAATAATACAGAATGGCCGTTTTCACGACGGAACTTTCGCAGAGGAACTTATTTGATACCTAAAAAGTACCTACCCTTAGAGGCCTTAACATCCCTCAAACTGAAATATTTTATGTTCAAAATAATTTTAGAAGTTTAAATCCGGGCATTTTTTGCCCTCAAATCACTTATTTATATACAAACACAGCAATTTTTGGTTCTAGTAGCCCACCTTTCGACTATGAGGTATTAAATCAGCGTGGCAACTTGCTCCCTCTTTGCTCCCTCGGGTATCTAATTCCGGAATTCTTAAAAACAAGGAAAGTATATATCGAGTTCTCTTTTATACCTATTCAGTTATGTTTTAATGGTGATTAAAATATGACAAATTTTTTAATTACATTTCATATAAGAAAACATGCAAAACAATGAAACAAAAATAACTACGGCAGATAATTACCTTCAGGTATCTAATTCCGACCAATCAGCACCTCAGTAGGATATGACGTCATACAAGAATGGTGGTGAAGGCCGTTTGCAGTCCCGGCCGGTAGGTCACGTGACCGCCGGGCGCCTCGGGTCACGCGGCGGTCGGGAGTCGGACGCGGGGCGTGGTCGCGGGCGGACGCGCGGGGCATCATGCTTTGCTTTGCTTGCTTTGTCAACTTCATATAACTTACTATCGCATTCGTGTGAAAGCCAAACACTGCTCAGTGCCCTTAGAAATTGAGTTTTGGAAAGCTCAAGTCCCTATAGCTCCTCAGGTCGGCAACAGTTGAAGCCTCATCTGAACCCATGTGAAAAAACGAGGGTAAGGAACCTTGTGTTGCTTTTTCTTTTACCGTCATAATTATCTCAAACCATCACAATTTTGAGTTCCCACATTGTCTGCTTCACTACATTCGTGTAAAACTTGGGTGAAGGCTGGTGGCTCAAAGAAAGGTGAAGATATTTCTTTAAGTGCCTAATCCGTGAAATTGAAATATCCCGGCTTTACAAATCTACACTTTTCATTTTCTCCACGATACATTTTTTAAAATTGTTTAAATTTTATCTACATTTGTTAAAATCGGGGCTTTGGTTTTGTGTAAACTAGATCATAAAGTTTACTATAGTTTTGTGTAACCTGATGGCTGAAGAAAATAGTAATTTTGCTAAAATGATGTGCGGAAATTTGTTGCTTTCCAAATCAAATTACTCATACCTATTTCATTCAAAATTAGGAGGCATTATTACTGTTTTTTCTTGTAACATGAACTGAGTTTGGGTACGGTGCTCCGGAAACGTTGTGGAACTTTAAGCTAGCTAGAGCAGTTTCCATAAAAATTGTTTAGATAGTTGACATGGCTTGTTGACAACTCTTTTGCTGTTTCTAAAAAAGTGGAAAAAAATATTTTCCTGCATTAAGCACACAAGGCATGTTATTCTCATAAGCTATCGAATGTGTGTGTGTGTGTTTTTTAAGCTGTTTTTTTTTTTAAGCTTTTAAGCTGTAACTTCAGTTACTTCACTTTAGAACATATTGCCCAGAATGCGTCACTGATCATGAGCTGGTATATCATATCATATGTAGCAAATACATAAATGAGAATAGTGTGTCATGAATTTTTGTGCATGCTTCTGGATCATCTGTAATTACATCAAAGGCTCGGCTCAAGAGTGTCCTGCCGACCAGCTTATGCCCAACCCTTTCTGTCCGCAGAACGTCGCCTGCGACTCCCGCACGCCGTTTGCCCCGGCCGTCCGTACTGGTCTTCGCGCTGCGAGCCGCGCTGGAGTTCGCGGCGGCGTCGTGGAGCTCCCATCGGGACGGCGTGTGATGCCCGCGTCGAGCTTATAAGCCGTGAGCTTCGATTGGCGGCTCACGCGGTCACCAGCTGTATGTACAGCCTCGGCCCCGACGACCCCGCTAATGGCCGAGACCGGCATACCCCCGGCATGGGTCCGCTGTCCGGCGCAGCGCTGGCCGCCCGCATGCTATGCTACTTTTGGCTGTATCGCTGCCCAGCGGGAGCGCGCTCCACGCTGCGGAAGAGGTACACGTTGCGACCCGACTGAGGACTGCAACCGGATGGTGACACGTCGGCCTCTGCGCCCTGGCCGGGGCAGGCGTGACCGACGTCACAGTGGAGGAACGCCCAAACAAGACCAGCCCACCGTCGGAGCAGCATGGAAATATCATGTTCTGCCTGGACGTCGGACCCGGCGGCGGCGCAGTGCACCTGCACACGTGCGGAGAGGGGCGCTGGAGGCTACTCTGGAGCTTCTGCCATTCCGCGGCGCGACTGCTGGCAAAACGGCGGCGATTGAGGCGGTTGGGAACAGCTGCAGCAATGGTGATGGCGGTGATGGCGACATGGCGGTTTGGGACTTCATCTCAGCGCGGCCGCCGCCCAGGCGCCGCTGCGCCCGGCTGCTCAGCCACCTACCGGATGGCGGGGTGGCCCTTACGGCCCTCACGCCCGTTCGGTCTGCGGCCACGTTGTGGGGTGGCGGTCGCGGGGTTAGCGGCGTTGGACTTCGTCCTTTATCCAGACTGCACCGCACCATCTGAACGGATGGATCTGCCAAGAAAGATGACATCCAAGGCGGCTATGAGGCGATCACAAAGCTTCACCAAGAGCTTCTCCTTCATGGGGCCGGCCGGCCGTTAAGTCGCAACACCGGCTGCCGAGTGCCAACAGCTGCGTGCGCTGGCGCCGACGCGTTGTGGGCCGCGCTGCTGACGCCCAAGCTGCGATATCAACCATCTATGAATAAGTGGCAGCGGTGGCGGCTTGTCAGTTGTTAACGTGCCTTAACAGACGTTGCGAATAGCCCGCGTTGGAATCGCATGGTTGGGAACACAACGCAAGTAAAAATGGGCTTCCTTGATGAACCTACTTTTTAAGCATTGTAGCCTTTGTAATTTTGGATGTTTTGCTGTAGATATTATTTTCTACATATATACTATATAGGCACTCACGTGCTTTAAATCGCGCAATGCAATTGAACCATGGTAAAGACAATGATAAATGAACTGAGAGCTGACATGCCCCATGCTTTGTGTGTGTATGTGTGTGTGTGTGTGTGTTTTTTTTGCGAGTCGATAAAAGTGGTTTTGGACACTGGATGAGTTTTTAGGGGTGTGGTGAGGGGGGATGTAATTCCACAGACCTGTCAGATTCACTAATGCAGTAGGTCTGTGCGGTGTTTAGTTATCGGAGCATTCTTTGAAAGTCGTGAATAGGGCCAACGAGTACCTAAAGCCGTGATATTCCCCCACAAAAACTTCTTTTAAATAACCGGGGATAGGTACATGAGCAGAGTAAATGCTATTACGAACGCCTATCACAATGCTGAGCGAATAGGAAAATCCATAGATGGAGAATTGTGCCGCGTTACGGGTGCTCGGGCGCAGCCAATCCACCGTTACCCCAGCGGTGACCTTGACCCGCATCGTCTGTCTCGGCTCCAAAGCCAAACCGGCGTGGAATTGGGAGCGTTCGAGCACTCATGGTCCAGCGCAATTCTCCACCTAAATCCATTCCTGATACACATTTGCTTGCTCATAGTCATGTAACCCCGGTAAATTCACCCAACTTTCATATTGGTCGCTCCATAGACAGATGGCCACAGAGATCAACTTAAAAGGCCATTGTTGCATTCATTTAGTGGAGATCATTAAAGAGCCGTGACAGGCCACAAGTCGCGTGACATCATACGTGTAACGACCAATGACGTCGGCCTGCAAAACCCAATGGAAGCGGCTAGCAGCGTGCAATAAAACAGGGCGCTGCTTTCTAAATGTCTGTCGTGCGCCATAAATGAATATATTCTTTGTAGCCTGGCAACTCAGTATCTTTTTTTAACTATTGTACTAGTATTTAATAATTTCATAATTTTATAATTGTGCTTACGCTTTATGTTGATATTAGTGATAAATCCTTAGATAAAGTAAATCGATGTGATATTTAATAGAAAAATAGCAAACTAACGCACCATTCGAAAGCTGGGGAACCTACTAAAAAGAACTACTAAAATTCCTGAGGAACTAAAGGATTAAATGGGGATTAAATAGATGCCTGCTATTCCGTCGTGAAAACGGCCAATATGATTTAATAGAGCGATCCATAATTCATTATCCGCGGCTATATTTATTAATGAAATATTAATGCTTTTGAAGATTGTCCAATGCAATAGAATAAAGAAAATGTTCAGGAAGGTGCTCGAGGTGGTGCAGCTTGCGGTCATACAAGAGTTGGATGAAGCTATGACATAATTAAAAGCAGACGTAAGTGCACAACTGACAGGCATACGCACCAGAAACGGTTAAAGGTGGAAACTGAGAAAGATCTTTATTATTTGCGGTGCACTTAAACCAAAAATCATCCACGGTAGACGATAGTGAGACAACCTCCATTAGCGCCCAATATCTAAGGTTCTGGCCACCAGCATCAGCTCATAGAACCCGACCCATCAACCGACACTCCCACTCGACCACGGACCACCCCGTGACCGACTGCTGTTCACCGCCTCCCGGTACTTACCGTCGGGCTGAAGGCGCATCTGCTCCGGGCAGCTGCAGTGGACTAAGCCGCTGATGTCACTGCTGCAGACGTGGCTGCAGCCACCGTTGGCCCGCAGGCAGCTGTTGCTGCTGTCGTCCAGCGGCAGAGGCACCACGGCGTCCACTGGCTCGGCCGAGCGGGCGGTCGTGCTCGAAGGATCCCGGGTCAGCGCAGCAGACGGACCCGTGGTCGGCCTCCGCCGCCGAGACGGCCGCCGTGCCCGAGCAGTGGTGGCTGCCTCCGTGGTGGTCAGCTCTGTGACAGCCTCAGTGGCAGGCTCAGCCCGCTCTGTGGTGGTCAGACGAGCCGTCTCCGTGGTCGTCTGGACGGGCGACTCCCGAGTGGTCGTTTCGGTTTCTGTGTCTGTCGGTTCTGTCGTCACTCGAGGTCTGACGTCGGCGTCTGTCAGCTTGGTCTCATTTAGAGCGGCCATCCTGAGCAGCAGCTGCGGCAGACAGGCGTCTCCCTGGCAGGGCCCGGCCGCAGCCAGTCGCTGGGCGGCCTCCGCACAGCTGCCGCCCTCACACTCAGGCAGTCGAACAGTAACGCACCGGTCACCGACGCAGCCCTCGCCGTCCCGCGCCAGCGTCTGCAGGATCTGCGGCAGGCAGGTGCCGTCCTCACAGGGGAACGGTGCGTCGGTGGCCGAGCGCGGCCGCTCGCCCATGGCGGCGATCTCCAGCAGCAGCTGTGGCATCGGCTCCAGCGGCTGTGTCGGCTTGGCCGGCCGCGCCACGGCGTCCAGGTCCGGGCAGTTGACGCCCTCGCACGGCTCGCCGCCCTCGGCGATCTCCAGCAGCAGGTCGGGGACGGGACGCTTGGCGGCAGCCGGCTCCGTGGGCACCCTCGGACGCTGCGCTCTGTTGGAGGCCGGCTGACTGCTCAGTCTCCGACCTGAGCTCTCTGACCGCGCCAGGCCGGAGACGTCCACCGCCCGGCCCCCGGCCACGCTGCGAGCGCCGATCGCCTCTGAAACGGGACCGGGTCACGTGAGCTGCGTACACGACGGTCACGTTTGGCTCTCATCCAGATACACTCGTCCATCAAAATGATGGTTTACTCTAACCACGGCCCGGGTGGGATGCGGATGTATCTCTATTTAATCGCCTTAACATGTATACAATCTATAAACCCTACAAGCTGGCTTACGACACGACCGAAACATTTAAAGGACAGCGGTGTAAGTTGAATCATTCTCGATCCTTCCTTGGGGAGAGCATGACGTAAATTTATCTGTTTCGGGTGTGCCCTTGGCAGCGGCCGTGCTGGCAGAATCTGTGGTCTCGTGATGACAGTTGAGACCGTCCGAACATCTCCCCAGAAGGTGACGCAAAACGGTCTGACGCAAACATGTTGCGGTGAGCCTAGCCCCCGGTAGCTGTTGCATCGGTTAATCTGAACCGTGTTTCTCGAGAGGATGAACTCTGCTTTTGCTAACTGGTTGCTCGGTTGCACCAATCGACCCTCACGGGATACTTGAGGAAGAGCACCGTGACGAAAAACGTAAACATCCAATTGGGAGGACCCGTTACGACGCTGATGGGGGCCGTCATGTTGAGTGAGGATATGTCAAACAAACTGATAAGAATACTCGGCTACCATATCGGGAGTTCCGTGGCAGACACAACAGACGCATATATCCGCTAATGAAATGGTAACGGCGGCGCGATGCGAGACGGATGGTGACTGACTGAATTGATACCGGCACACTGGCGCCGGGAATTCATCTAATTTTCAACTTAATGAGGAATTTAAGATATGACATTGATGGAATATGACTGACGCCGCCAAACAGAGGAAGGAACAGAACACCAGTCAAGTGAAAGTCCGATGACGGGACAATCGGGGATCGGCACCATGCAGGTATGCAGGCCTAAGTCTGCTGCAACTGAGCCTGTCTCGCTGACCGAATGAATGACGCAATGACCCGCTGTGGACGGCGCGTAACCGCAGCCGGGGCCCACGTGAGGCGGCCATCGGAAGGCGCTGAGGTCACGGCTCACTGCCGAGCCGCCCGGGTCAGTCGGCCGGCCCGACTGCTGCCGGCAGACCCGGCGGCGGCGTCTAGCACCGACAGGACGCGGCGGTAGGACCGGATCGGGTCAGGGCCGGCGCCTACACACGTACCGGTGGGGGCGCAGCTGACCCGTCGGCAGCAGTTGGGCCAGGGCGCCTCCGGGTCCGGGTAGACCACCTCGCAACCCGGCTCCAGACGGTCCTCGATGATGTAGCGGCACCTGGCGGACAGACGCAGGCCAGGTCAGGTCATGTCATGTCATGTCAGGTCAGGTCAGGTCAGGTCAGGTCAGGTCAGGTCAGGTCAGGTCAACTCTTGTATTTGAATGGTATGTCTTATTTGAAGTTGAACATTATGGAGTGTTATGTGTGTGTGTGTGTTTTTTTTTTGTATAGTTATATGAGGAGGAGCGAGGACGGCACAAGCTGTTTTATATAGCAACAAACAGGACAAGCATATTGGCGAAAAGCATATCTTTGTTTTTGAAATTCACTCGCAATTGCAAGACAGGCTGAGGGATTTTTCCATTAAAAATAAAAAAGAAGTCAATTTTGTCCGACGAAGACGGCCAATATCGTCTCACTTCATATCGTTTTTGCGTCGACCAGCCAAATAACAAGTAGATAAAGTAAATAATAAATAAGGAATTAAATAAATAAATGAAAAAACCAGACGGGTACCAGCATCACTTTGCTGCGGATGTCTCCAATCTATCATTGCTCACTCGATGCTCGAGCTCATATTCGCGCTTCATAAGCACCAGCCTGATTTGATGACGCCCTCAGAAGTATCTTTACCGCCTTTTTGCCACCTCTCGAAACGCCTCCAGCCGGCACCCGGAGGTAGGTAATTACATCCCCCAGGACAATCATCTTCCTCCGGGCCACCGGTGCGGGCTCTGACGTCAACACCAATCATCGGCGACCGGAGGTCGTCGCGACTCGTCACCCGCCTCTGATTGCCCCGTCATTACGCGCCGCATCTGCCGCCGGCACGCCGCCGCCGCCGCCGCACTCGGTCGCGCCGATCGGCCGTCACGCGCGCCAAATACGGCACGCTGAAGGTCGTCCGGTGGTGGGCGCGCGCGCCTCCCGGCCGCTTTGTGGTCACACAGGTCAGCCGCGGAGGCGCGGTGCGGGCGCCGCTCCGATGACGGCGGAGGTGGCGGAGCGGCGCGCGGTGGCGGCGCGATGATGGATGACGGCGATGAGCAACGCTCGGTGGTCCGGAGCGGGCGTCATCCTGAGGGGCGGGGGCGTCATCCCGAGGGGCGGGGGCGTCATCCCGCGGCGGTGGCGGGTGCGGAGATCAGTGCCTGGTGGTACCGGTCTGAGTCAGCTGGTCGTCCGGCTGGCCACGTCACTGCCCGGTGGGCGGGGACCACGGCCGGTATGGGCCGGAGCCGACCGGTCCCATCCCCCGAGACCGCAGGCCCCGCAGATGGACCGAACTATCGAGACAATCTGAGGAGTCGAGGGTGGCGTATCACGGCACGAGCCGCCGCTGGCCGTGAGAGTCTGAGGAAGCGTCACGGACCACCGGCGCCTCTTCTCGCTATGTCAGGCACCACTGGGCACCACCGGTGCGCTAAGGACGGCACACGATTCAGGCTGTAACGGAGCATCTTCCGGGATTCCGGTGACACTGTCACACCTTCATGACATCCCGACAGTCGTGTTCAACGTCCCGGGTGACTTTTGGGTATTGATTGATGCAGCTGGGACGTTCACGACGTAGCCGGTAAGGCGTGACCTGCCGTTCATGCCGCATCAAATCGTGCCGTGTAGTCGTGGGGATGAATCAATGGCCTTGACACTGCGGAACGATACAGGAACAGCTAAGGAACGTGATGTGCTCTTGCAAGAAGGTCACGTCCCAGGTCAGGTCAGAGGAATTGATGAGTGAACGGACACCATCTCTTATTCGAGGGATCAGCTTCGAATGATCACAGGAAGTCAGCTATATGAGTCACGAGAGCGTTAAGAATCTCGTGACGTTGTTGACGTTTAAAAAAAGGTGACGTTGTTCAATTTAGAGCAATGAGCAATTAAAATTAAAAAACAATGGTCATAAACACCATGCAAATCAGTTCATTGTCGAATCTATTCGACATTTCTGTTCTACTAAGTCATCAATGAGGTATAACATTAGTTTTATCGCTCTTCATCACACCTCTTCAAGTCCTTACGGTGTGACCTCCCATATGACCAACACTCCAAGTCCCAACAGCGCCTTCTCTTTCCACATGACGTCTCCTATTTCTCGCATCCTTATCTATACATCATTTGGCTGAGCTGACTGCGCCTCCGGTGAGGCCTCCGTGGGCTGATGGTCTCCGTTTGGAAGCCGTACTCTCCTAAACCCGGGACCATTTACTGGTGAAAGGCGCCTCACGCCGCACGGCGCCGGAGCCACGGCCGGACCGTGCCGGTGCGACCCGCGCACAGCCACGAGTGATGGCCACGCGTGACCGGCCTCTCCGAGTCGCCGCACGGAGAGCAATGGCCAATTAGTGTGCGCGCGCTGCGGTGATCGCCGCCTCGAGCGGCCCGTATTAGCAGGCGGGCTGTGAGTGTTTGTGCGAGTGAAATCCTCCGTCCGTCACTCTCTGGGTGTCCGGAGATATTAATCTTTCCACGTCAGTTGAGCCGCCGCCGCAGGAGTGATCGCTTGTTTTGGCCGTCCATGGCAGCTGACGGCCTGCTCTGGTCCCGGCGGCGCCAGCGGCCGCCCCTGATCAAGGCGTGCCGCTGACGGCTGAGCCATTTGCACCCTCCTCAGAGGAGAGCGCCGCCACTCCGCCGCCCGTCCCTCCCAGGATGTTCATTACTCCCTCAGGCTGACATCACTCTCAGACCCCTCTGCCATAAGTGTAAGGGTCCTCGAGACAACAACCACGTAGATGTTCGACAAAGGGCAGCGCTCCATAAAAGGCAGCACTGGCACTGACAGGCGCTGAACGTTTGCCAACTGGTCAGGGAATGCGCCGGACAGGGTACGACCCATCCTGCCGGATCAGCCTTCATTGCCGTGGCGTAAGAGGGCTGCAAGTGCGCCGGCGATTCATCGCATGAACGCGACAAAGCCTTACCTTGTCGAGAGTCCGGGACGGCTCACCGTCTGAGCGCCCATCTCCGGAACAGACTCTGTTTATGGCTGGGATCAGCGATGTTAATCGACTGTCGTAATCGTTGAAGAATGACTGATGGGCCACGGATCGCAGCGGACGCCTCAGCCGCTGCCAGAGACAAAGGACTGGATGGATGGACGGTGGGAAAACGCTCTAACGATAGTCACGGCGGTAACGCGAGAGAGCTAGCCTGATGTATTCGTGATTCCGTATACTTTATGACGCTTTGGAATTTTACGTTGTCTTGTTTTTGAAAGTGCGAATACTTTTTTTCTGATGTCCAAGACTATCCAGAAATCCAGATTAATGTTTTCATTTGTAAAACGAATAATCGAAAGAAGCCAGCTGCCATAATATGTCCATTTAAATTCAAACGAAATTGAACGAGATCAAGGAGATCGGCCGCATCCCGTCAGACAGAAAAATGCGTCTACTCCAATTAATATCCAATTCCACCGATGGAAAGTCGTGCGATGTGGCGGCAGAACCAGTTCTACCGGTCAGATGGCATCATCAAACAACACCCTTGGCTTCCCGATCTCCACATATCAGAGGAGACATGGGAGTGCCCTGCGGCAGACCGGATCCGAGTGACGCCCGCGACTGCTGGGGACCACTCTCGCTGTGCGGCGGGGCGTATGGTCGCCGGGAGTGCATCACTCACCCGAGCACGAGCACGCCGGGCCGGCCGTTGGTCCAGCCGTCCACGCACTCCGCCTTGGTGCAGCCCGCCTCTCGCCATGTGTCGCCGATGCTGAAGTACCGGTTCAAAGTCTTGGAGTAACAGTCGCCAGCCTCTGCAAATAAGCGAAGAGGTTAAATGCGATGGAAGCTGCTTTCAGAATCGTTTGGATGGAATAGTCGTTTATGCGCAATAATGCTTTGGATCAATTTTAATTTTTATATGCACTTTACGTTGTACCTAATGTGGGAAAAAAATATCTAACACCAGATAATTCAAAGGTAAGACACCAAGAACAAAAGAACAACAAGACGTGTAGCCACAACAACTTGTCGTTTCCCAGACATCAAGCACGTCAACCAGCTTCGTCTTTGTGTGATCAAGTCACGACCACGCGATAAACAAGCCCAAGTGAGTCGAACCATAAGTCACGCTTATGTAAGTACGTTTTGTTTAGATGCCAGAATTTTTACACAGTCTTATTTTGTTGATATTCACGCTAACGAGGGGAGTATAATTAACACTTTTCTATGGCCTGTCATGAGCTGAAAGAAACGTTGAACTATATATTTTTTTTTCAATTGCCTCAAACCATATCGCTGGAACGGAAATGGATGAAAAACACCCCAAAAGGTCACAGGTTTAGACAAATCGGTTGGGCTGCAGTCCGTTTTGAATAATCGAATCACTTTAATAAGCGTTGCAGAGTAGAACGAATCTGTTTTATTAATTGGTCAATATCTTTCTATACAATTTATATGACAAAGTTTCATAAATTTTGTGCGCTGCGGGGTAACGACGCATGCGCCGGTACATCTAAATCCGTCAGTGATTTTATCTTTTGCAGCTACAGGCCAATCTGAAAATCACGGTGTTTCGTTCCATTCTTTCAGCCACATTTGGTCCATTGTCAATGACCTCTGGTCTCTTCCCAGAACAGTTATCAGCCCTGATCGTTAACTGTCCGCACACAGCTGGTTCGGTGTAACTTCTATAGAGGAACTAGGGGCCATAGAGGCACTGTTCCGAGTATACCCGGAAAAGGGCCTCTATATGGCCAGCTGACCGTCAGCTCAACGAATAGGCGCCTCGCTAGCTGTGCCAGGCAGACTTCTGAAGCTACTAAAACAGCGCAGTCGGCGAATCGATTCAGTGCCCTCCTAATTATTGAGGTCCTCAACTGAGTCGAGCACTGCTGTCGCTCAAGACGCAGCTTAGCTATATACCCCGGCTCCGCCTCACCTCTGCACCGCCCGAGTTTGAATCTGATCAGAGCACGGTGACGGCCAACGGGGGATAGTTCAGCCACGCCCAGGGGCCCAGTCTCGTACCCATCTCGGGCGCCAATTTTGCACCGGTGGCACCCCCGTCTCACACCCAAATTGCGCCTTCGTCCGGCCGTCCCGCCGAGCCGGCGCCGATGGACCGCGCCCCGGCTGGAATATGACATCCAGTGGCGTCAGCCGGGCACCCAGAGCGGGCCGGTGGAGCCGCGAAATTGCGCTGATGCGCCCATTGTTTGGCAGGCGGTGGTCCATTGGAGCTGTGCATCGGACGGTGTCCAAACAGCGCCGCATAGTCAGACGACAGGCCGCTAACGTGGCCGGCCGGCCAGCAATGGAGAGGGGCCCGCCCGTCAGTGGACACTGTGCCAAATGTTCAGACAGCAGATGCAGCTGATGACGTTTGCCGGCGCGGTAGTGGAATATATGCAATCTTCACTAAAGTAAAGCACAATTAAGCGGTGATCCTCATTCCTTGCATAGAAATAATGCTGACAATGAACAGAACGTATTTAAAGTGCAAAATACCTTCATAGTTTGAACCTACGAGACAGGGTTTACGTGAAGCGCATATCAATTAAACGAGGCATAAAGTATGCATGCGAGTATGAATCATGCGTAAGGACCATAACGTGTGCACCATTTTGCATAATGAGAGCTCTGAGGGAGCGTAGAACTAATTATTTCATACATAATATACTCGCGTCTGCGCATATCCATGCAAGCACAGACATTTCATTTTCCAGCAGAATGCATATTACACCGCTCATTTCAGGCTCATTTTTGCATTTAATTTAGAAAACATCTTCTACTTTTACTCTGTAAAATGAACGAGAGCATCCGACTAAGAGTCGCCATCATTCAGGTGTCCAAACACCGGGCCTCTGCCAGTGGGCGTGTCATTGTCGGTCTTCAAGCAGAGAGACGTACAAAATTGTGGGTGCTGGCTCTGGCTCTCTTACGATTTCCGTGATCGACAGCCCTTTATCTGTCTATGTCTTGTATCCATGTTCTGTGAGCTCCATCCATCCATTAGTCTGTCTATGTTCTGTGAGCTCTATCCATGGGTCGATCCATGTTTTGTGGGCTCCGGCCGCCGACCATCCATCTGTCTATGCTTTGTAGGCGCCGGCCTTCTGTCTAGTGTCTAGTGTCTATCTATGTTCTGTTGGCGCCGGCCCTCCAGTTGTCTATGTTCTGTGGGCGCCGGCCCTCCAGTGGTCGCCGTGTGTGGGCGCCGACCCTTAAGTTGTCTATGCTCTGTGGGCGCCGACCCTTCAGCTGTCTATGCTCTGTGGGCGCCGACCCTTAAGTTGTCTATGCTCTGTGGGCGCCGGCCCTTCAGCTGTCTATGCTCTGTGGGCGCCGACCCTTCAGCTGTCTATGCTCTGTGGGCGCCGGCCCTCCATCCGTCGCGTCGCCGTGTGTGGGAGGCGGCCGGCTCCCGGACAGGGAAGGGTCGAGGTGAGCGGGGTGCCGGACCGACCTCGTGCACACCGGCGCCGACCGGACCTCTCCGAGAACAGGGCGGGCACTCCCGCCCCGGTCGGATCGCAGCAGTCTCCCGAGGTGGCCGAAAAAGGGTGACGCGATAGCTTTACGGTACGTTTTTGTAAGAACTAAGGTAATGTATGTATGTACATATAGTGGAGCGCACGCGCTGTTTGTTTTATATAGAAGGTACTGGGTACTGACTAGTGACTAAAGAAGCTATTGAACCTATCTGCTATTAGGATCTCACCAAATGAAATGTCTAGCAAATTCAATCAATACCTAATCATAGTTCTGTGATACGTTCGCGCATTGAGATGCAGGTATGCATAATTTTCAAGCCACAGAAATGCTCGCTAAAACAGGATACAGCTCGACTCATCGAAAATTTCGTCGAACGAGCCTGGCAATGTGTTGTGCAATATGCATGATTTCAACACTGCTTTGTTACTATGTGCCCCAAATGAGGAAGGCATTGTATGATAATAAGAGGTCCCGATTCAAAGCTGTGCACCTGGGTATAAATTGGATTGCATGCTACATGCCGTTCTGCCTGTTTTCAATATGGATGGAAACCACGCATCCCTTTTCCACGTCTCTCGCTTAGGAGAGAAACGGTGATTCTCATGCGTTATTCGAGGTCATTACATATTCACATATTACATATACACATACACTACACATATTCTCCTAGAGCCAATTCAATAGCTGGATCGTCTATTTCACCTAACCATTGTCCTTGGAATTATTCAGTCAGATCGCTCTCTGCTTGCGTCCTGAAACTAAATGCTGTAGGCTCACCTATATGCGCTGTGCGGTTTTGTGTTTTTTTTGTTATTATTCTTATATCGTGAACTACACGATATAAGAATAATAACTTCTGCCACTGTACAATACAGTGGCAGAAGTCTGCCTCCAGATAATGACATCAGCCCGTGCCTTTCGACTGATATCCGGCTTTGACTTGGCTTGTCAACAGCAGCATGACAACATTCGCCCTGAAGGTTGCATCACAACAATCAATCAACGGCTCTTCTCTGCTTCTTCGGCTGATTCAATGCGTTCCGGTGAGTCACCGTCAGGCTTCAGGGCCAACTATTTTAGCTTTGATGCAGCAATTATCTATTTGGTGATGTCCCCGTTTATATAAACAGCTCCTGACAGGTGCCCTGAGCTGGGGAGTCTGAAAAATTCCACTGACCGCTACTACTCTGAGAAGTAAAGTGTGCAACAGGGTTGTGCTTGACTCATGAATCGAGTCAGAAATTTGACTCAACTCTGACTCAAATGAGTCAGATTTGAGTCGAGTCGGATAAAATGTTGAGCTGTTGAGTTGAGTCAGAGTTGAGTCGGACAAAAATATTAAGGTGTTGAGTTGAGTCAGAGTTGAGTCAGTAAAATAACTTTTGACATTGAGTTGAGTCAAGAACATTTAGGAACATGAGTCAGCTGACTCAACACTTTTTAGAAACAATATATAGTATAAGTTTTTCATTCTCCCCCGCTTAACCCTATTAGTGGCAGGGGGGGTTGTTTTTATCCACCCCTCAGGTTTTTCGGGAATATCTCCGAAACCGCTGAAGCTACGATACTGAAATTTTCTGACTTTTCCTAAAACTAAATTAGGCACATTCCCTGAAAATTTCAAGTTCATAACTTTACCAGGGGCGGCTCCAGAGCACTGGGAATTGGGGGGTCCTATTCGTGAAGCGAGTCATTTGGGCGAAGATCACGATGCTGCACCAGTTTTACGAACAGTGAATGAAAGGTATCATGTGATAACATATACAAAGTTATTGTGCATCCTCTTTTGACACGTTTTTGCTATAATAGGCGGATCCAGGCGTCCAAAAAGGGGGGTTATTTTTTACCTCCCAACATAGGTGCCCTGACACCGCCTATGCATGACCAATACAATTTTAGTCCTTCTCTCATAAGAAAATTGTAACATAACAAAACCATTGCCACCCTTTTTAGAAACAGTACCAACAAAAACCTTATTTACTATACTTTTTGTGTACCCCCAATCTCAATGATCTGTATCCGCCTATGATTTTTGAAAATGCATATTTTTAGGATCCATGTGAATTCCTGGTTCATTCTCTAGGTATCGATCGGCAAAAGTTGCGTTAAGATTGGTTCAGAAACCTGGCCGTGATAAACAGTCTAAAATGTATCTGCAATTTGCCCGTTTTTACCCCCCTCTACCCCCCTTTTGACATTTTTTATTTTTTTTAAATGTAGATCTCGTTGAGCCAAATCGAATGCTGTTTGAATTTTGAAAATCGGCCGGTTAGATCTCGAGATATCAAGGGGGGTCGTAAACAGTCCCCCCCCCCCCCTGCCACTAATATGGGGTAGCCAGGAGCCTGCCACTAATAGGGTTAACAACTTAGGCCCGGCCCTGCTGCCGGATTTTTTCACCCCCCCCCCGCTCAACAACTTTTTTATCTAAGTCAATTTTGAGTCAACACACTTGACTGAGACTCAACAAAAAAAAATTGAGTCAAGTTTGAGTCAACTCATATTTTCATTGAGCCGCTTGAGTCATGAGTCGAGTCAAGGGAAAAATCATCTCCTTGTTTGAGTCAGAGTTGAGTCAGGGCATTCTGAAGTTGAATGATGAGTCGAGTCGGCAATTTTTTTTGAGTCGAGCACAACCCTTATTTGTCGAAGTCGAACACCCCTTATTATTTTTATTATTTGACTCTGGCACTAGAATAGCCACACAAGTGTGGAGTGAGCCAATGACGTGAAATAAATAAATAAATAATAATAAACCCTGGTGTGCAATGTATTTGCAGTAGGTACTCATTCTTACAGCGGGCAGTGGAATCTTTTGCCGGGTCTCACTGTAAGAAGTAGGAACATAGGCACATCTAGCGCGGATACTGAGTTAGAAAATCCGTGGTGGTGGCCGACCCACCCTCACACGGCTCATATCGACCCGTGGACCCGACCCACTCGATCGGCACTACCACCGGCAATGGTAGACAGGGTTCGATTCGGTTTTTGTGCTGATATCAGTGTCACGGCAATGTGGCAGGAGAACGCTGGCGCATTAACGGTCCGTGCTATCTTCTGAACACATGAAAGACTAGCGCTCAGTTGACAAGTTTTGCCGACCGTTGTCTCCGCGACTCTCTCAACATTGATTGCTACCATCTCGCTTTTAGACGATAATTGATTCGTGACTCGGACGAATAATCACTCTTTCGAAACGTTTTATTCTTTCGTGGGAAAATCCAGCTTAGGATCATTATAAGCGTCGTCAAACGTGAAATGGATGAACCTCAATAGCGTTCGGTCCCATGACGTTTCATAACTTTTGGTACAGGTGCCAATGAGCGTTAGACGGAAATCAAACTTGGTCGCTCACCTGCTATAACTATACCTACTCAGCAGTCAGCAGCCTATGTCAAAACCCTTCTAAAATGTCAAAGCAAAGCGGGATAGACGTCTGAGTCCAGCTTTCCAGAACACTGTGTTTCAATGACACTTGACAGTCATCTTCGCAGATAATGGAAGACAAGCATCCATCCCATTCTGTTCAGATTCAGTTCTGCCGTAAGCTCAAATTTGTCTACATTGGCATATTATTGCCGCAAAGTAACTTAAAAAAATACAGGTACCCACGGGCATCGAAGACAACATCCGGTACTGGACGAGCACTTCCAGCTCCTTTACATTTTACCATTTTTCATTTGTCGTGGGGTTACTCGACCCGTACCTAAAAGTAAGTAGGTACAGCGGGCACTTGGGCCTAGATATTACAATCACCATATACCACTATATACCTATATAGTGGTATATAGTGATCTATGCAATCACGCATCCGGTTGCCAATTCTTAAACCGGTTTTAAGCTGCGTAACGCTGTGGACGTATTGTGTCGAAATGCCGCAACACACATGCGATGATAATAATCAATCGTGCATCTGTTTACCTAGCTCAACGAATGACCGCAAGAAAACATTCCGTGTGCCGAGGCACGAATACAATTCGTCTGCAATGTCTGGTCTGGCAGCAGGCCAGCGGCAATGCTCGCGCTGGCCGGTGGAGCCTCGGCACTCTGCAGCTTCGGTCAGCTAGCCAAAGTGAAATGGAAAGTGGAGCGGCCGCCGCCGGGCCGCAGCGGTCAGTTCGACCGGCCAGAGGCCACTGCGCCGCCCGGGAGTGGCCAGCGAAAGTGTCATAGGCCGCACTGGTCAGCAGCCGGGCCGCGGGCCATGCGAGCACCTCCGGCGAGAAAATATCTCACACTGGGCGGGCCGCAGGACTGTTACGCCACCGGTCGACCTGTCCTCTCGGACCCGCCCGGACCGGAACCTCCCGTGGCGTTTGATAACAGCCCACAACAGATCGCGCTCAGACGGGCGCCGAGATTGGTTTCACTTTTGTCAGCCGGCGCGCCGTGGTCGGTCGTGGCCCCTCCGGTACCCCGGTGCCAATTACGGCCGTGCTGCGCCGCTGCGGCCGGTACTACGTTCAATGGTCGTCGCCTTCCGCCCCGACACTATGTCCACAGGCGGGCCTTTTCTCACCACACAGGAACGAACAAAAATAAACAGAGGGGAAACAAAGCATTCCGACGGCCAGCACGGCGCCAGCGCGCCGCAACGGCAGACCGGCGCACGGGACGAGGGGTGCACCGCCCCAGAGGGACCAACTCTGGGGCACCGCTGGAAATTATTCCGAAAAACGAATGCCCCTACAGAGCGTTAGCGGGTACTTACGATCACTGGGCGCTGCAGCGGTGAGCGCGGCGACCGTCAGCAGCAGCAGCAGCAGCAACGCTCCACGTGTGGCCATCTCGGGCGCTGGGCGGCACGGCGCGTGGCACGTCTGGAGGAGAGGTGGTGCGCGCTGCCGTTCGGCAGAGAGCCGCTCACCGACTGAGCGGCGTACGGAGCTGAGAGGAGGCCGGCGCCGCCGCCGACCCCAGCCGCCCGCCCGGCGACACCCGTCACCAATCACAGGCGCCGATGAAGCAATTGGTAGTTGAAGGATTATCAGGGTTTGAAAAAAATCGGTTTGTTTTGACTATCGATGAATCGTTCAGGCTCTTCTGATTCTAGGTAATGATAGCCGTTTTCACGACGGGCTATCCGGCGAGTGCACCTAATGTGACCAAATCTGCACCTAATCTCTTTTACAGCAAATATCTTTATTTTATGAATTAATTTCAGTGTTTTAATCGATGATACTCTCTGATAATATGACAAAGCAGGCATATATGTAAGCAATTAGTGCAGACCTAGGCCCTAGCTGATAGCTGCTAAGAGACACACTGAGCCTAATTTGACCAAATCTGCACCTAAGCTGCACCAGATGTGAACCAAATGTGTACCAGATGGCCGTCGTGAAAACGGCTAATATGTACGCAAATTGTACAGAAACCTGATTGTTGCTTGTATTTTATATTCGGTTACAGTACATTGACGATTCTATTATCTACGTATCGGCGACATACTGTTTAGGCACCCATACCCATGGCTTCGAAGGATCACCAATAAATAGTACACTAAACTAGCGATTTATTTGGAAACAAATCGTGATTAACCGTGACGCAGAGTCGGTTCACAACTGAGCGAAGAACAAGACAATAGCGAATAACTCAGACTCAGATCATTGTTTTGGGCACAAGGCAGCAAATTCGTCAACTAGTCCCGATAGAAATCAGGTTCATGGGTACCACTGCTGTGGGAACGTCCTCAGCTAAAAACCTCGGCGTCACTTTTGACGAGAGCATGACCTTCTCAAATCATGTGACTGATGTAGCCCGCCGATGCACCGGTATTCTGAGCGGCCTGAGTCACAGTAGGCACTACCTACCGAAAAGTACGCTGGCCACTCTGGTTCAGGCTCTAGTAGTCTCATCGATCCGGTACGCCATTGTTGTCTATGGTGGATGTGGTGTCACCCAGATGTCTCGGCTCCAGCGGCTTATCAATTTCGGTGCTCGTGTTGTGTCGGGCAAGCGGAAGTATGACCATGTAAGCGAAGTGCTGAAAGAGTTGCGGTGGCTCTCGGCCGAGAATATGTGGCGTCTACAGTCTGTCACGCTATTAAAGAAAATCCTCGAGACAGGAGAACCCGAAGCCCTATCCAACGCGATTGTGTCGCGAGGTAGCGTGCATGGGCGTGATACGCGTCAGGCCGACCGGCTCGATTTACCCGTGATTAGAACGGAATCCGGGCGCCGCCGGTTCCTATACGCCACTGTATCGCAGTATAACGCTCTGCCTCAGGCGCTGCGCAATCTCGGTCACAGGCTCTTTCGGAGGGAGTATCGGAAGCTCCTACTGCGTGAGCAACACGGCGACCCGGCCAGTGTGTAGCGGCGCGGTGGCGCAAATGTGAATATGTGTGCAAATTGTGACGCGTGTGTGTTGTGTGTAATGTTGTGCCCACCTCATTCGTTTCACCTGACTCGGCAGCCAATAATAGCCATTTTCGGATGGATCGGCTTGCCACGATAAGTACAATACAATACAATAGCTAGACATTATGATAATTATTAAAAATAACTGAAGATATACAACGTAACTATAGCAAATGTTACAAACAAGGCCCAACTGTCTCACTAAATCTCTGGTAGCTTCCTGCCCCGGTCGCAACGAACCAATACAAGACTGTAAATTTGGCTCCTCACGAATTCTTATTGCACCAAACAAAACAGGCAACATACAGCCAAACTGTGCGATGACAGGTAAGTTGTGTAAATGATCGGCAGAAGGCCGAACCTAACCCGTGAATAACCTCCATTGACAACGGTTAAGCCGTGAGTAACAAGTGAAACCTCCGCTGAGGACCAATATGACTCAAGAGTATATTGACCGTGGGCAGTGGCCGGGACCAGGCACCAAGACGTCTGGTTAAGAGGGTGGACTATAGTCCTCCCTCTCCCATTTGGGCAGCCCAATGCAGTTTGGCCAGAAGCTTTGGACAAGACGAGAGTCCCACCTGACAGCCGCCAACGGAACTATGTACAGTGAACAAGCCGCGAAAGGCGCTACTAGCGGGCCAGAATTCCTGCACCACAGCGGCCCAGCACAGCGGTCCGCCCGGCCACGACCGACTCTCGACCAAGAGTGACATGCCGCTGCGGCCCCGACCCCACATCGCGTACGATCAGGTCACGTGCTCACCGACCAATGAGCTCACCGCGTGGGCGCCCGTCGGGTAGGCTGTGCCGCCCGCCGCTCCTTGCAGCGACGCGGCTTCAACCGGCAGCCGTTACACAATGCCAACAGCAACGTTACACCGAGGCCGCTTCAGGTGACTAAGCTCGAATAGGCCTTTGAAGTCGTATGCGACAAGAATCGACGCGTGGCATTTTCTTCTCGATCGGCCCTGTAGTTGCTAAGTTACACAATTGCTGCTATAGGCAAAAACGTAATGCTAGCCCCTTAGAGTCACCAAGGTCACCTGAGGTCACCATGTTTAAACATTGCCAGAAATCACAGACAGCGGACAGACTATATTATTTTGTTTTTGATCGGCCCGGCACATATCTATATGTATGTAGTTGCTGAGTTCAATGGTTGCAACAGGCTAAGAAATTATTCTGACTTTTGAAGGTCATCGAGATCACCTGAGGTCATTATATTCAAAACGGCTCACAAAATCGCCTTCTGCCATTTGCATAGTGCCATTTTCGGCTGCTGCGTCAGGGTAGCTGAGGCGCAAGCAAGTACATACACTGGCGCTGCAAGACATGGGCGTTTAGTGTCAACAGAAACTAACGGTAACGACCTCTCTTTTCTGAAAATCTCACATTTAGCTTTATTTGGACGATGACATCACTCCACAAGAAACAAAGGCGGGACCCACACCGGACGTCTCAATCACTTCCTGTATGGTGACGCTGTTTTGCTCCGTCGGAGCCCTGCGGCGTTATTCACACAGCCGTGGCGCGGTCTGCGCCCGCCGATCGCAGTTTGTACAGTTTTTGTCAGGTAATCAGCCCTGCCTCCGGCAATTATAGCCGCCATGAAGGTCGTTCTCGTCTCGCCTGGCTGGATGGCCGGCCGAGGATGAGCACGGGCAGGACTCTCGGGTGTTCTTTTCTGCTGGCGCAGAGGCCGTGGGGCAAGCGTGTATCGCGGTGACCTCATCCGTGACCAATTGCGGGGTGGTGCTGCGCGACCCAGAGAACCGACGGTGAGCGGATGATTTAAAAACACATAATGAAACCGGTCGTATTCTTTGACTTTCTGTGAATCATTAGTGCACGATCATCCTTGACCGTTCGACAAAATTTTGAGGCTACATAAAGACGTGATCAAAGTCAAAGGCAGAATCAGGCCGGCGAGACTAGTCTGACAACTATCTAACGCCACCGAGGGGCGAGGACACTGCATCGCTGAAGGAAATAACACTGGCATAAACACACGCGAAACACGAGAGAAATATGGTAGTGTTTCGTGGCACCAATGCTAGACACTGAGCAGGTGGTCTCGTCAAATCTATATTATGAATTCTAAGATCTAATCTAAAATCTAAGAGATGATTAGATGCGTAAAACCCCCATAATGTGAACATATATTGCATTAAAAATAATGAACCAGTGAATATACATACCCACGGGTCCGGATTCTGGGTCCGGTGACGGGCCGGCTATTGATGCCTCATCCCACAGAGATGCTAAGATAAAGTCTCCAGGGCTTCAGCCAAAAAGCAAGCGTCCAAGTGAGGAGGCGGTAATAATCGAAACACTTTTTTTATACATGTTCATGAGCCGTTTTCATGACGGACTATCTGGCGAATGCACCTAATTTGGCCGAATATGCACCAAATTTCTTCTACAGAAAATACCTTGAATTTATTTCAGTGTTTTAAAAGGTAATAACTAATAATGTCTGATGACATAACCAAGTAGGCATATACATAAGCAATTAATGCAACCTTAACTCATAGCTACTTTAAGAAACACAATGAGCCTAATTTGACCAAATCTGAGGCCTCTTACACCAAACTACCTAGATAGGTAAAATCGAAAAACCGGTTTCAGAATAAGCTAATCTAACGGTGGTAATTTTTTTTTTGCAATAGCCCAATACATAATCCTACATGTTCTTGCTAAATTTTGCACTCAAGTTGTTACATTTGAGACTTGGACTGTGTATACGATGCAAAATAATCCAAGCATTGGTGCAAGAGGATTTTGGTGCAAGAGGCCTCTGCACCAAATATGCACCAAATGTGTGCCAGATAGCCGTCGTGAAAACGGCTATACGAGGGGGTATCGAAAAGTTCTGATCATCACCATTAATTAGATGTGATAGAAATTTGATTTTTTTACATGATGTTTATTACTCCTTTACAAGTCACCACACACGACTGCAAACTTATTGCATCATTTCTTGAGCTGCCTCAGGCGGTCATTGTAGGACCTTCGCACTCTTCCGTAAATCACTGCTCCACCTCATCAATGACGTCATTTCTGTCCTTAAATCACCGGCCATACTGTGGATTCTTCATCTCCCGTAACAATCAAGAGTCAGTTAATACCCGGTCAGGTGAATTTCTTAGATGCGATAGGATTTAATGTCCACATCATGTTGTTTCTTCAATCTCAGCTCAGGTTGAATGGGCGGGGGCGCTGTCAGTGCGGATAAAACATCTTTCTTGGGCTTTTTACGGCGATTCTGTTTGAGGCCATCTCGCAACTTGTCCAAAAGTGTGCAGTAGTGCTTTCTTATCACTATCCGACCATCATCAAGACAGTCGGTAATGACTATCCTACGCCAGACCCAGAACACTGGTAGCACTGACCTTCCATATCGGCTTCTGCATCTTCGCCTTTTAAGAAGGACAGATGTGCCGTGCTTAAACTTCTTGATCATCTTTTTGTCTCTGAATCATACAAATAGACCCAGCATTCGTC